TTATGAAGGAACACATGAACACATGCAAAAATATTCAAATTGTAAATATTTAATATATGGCTTAACCCCTTGAAAGTGGACATAGTACCATGAAACTGCAAAATCGAGGACAATTGCAGGTAAGTAATGCTTATATATATATAAAACTCCACGCACACATACATATATATATATATATATACCTGTGCACACATACACACACATATGTAGGCAGCATATCTTCATTCAAACATGTTCCATTGAATAATTTAGATACACTATGTCTATTTTTATACTGTTCCTTTCCAGTTGTCTAATCAGTTTCTTGATGTTAAGATGAAATTCATCAAAGAAGACACTGTAGTTTTTTTTAACCCAAGTACTTTAAACTTTTTCTTCAGGGTTAAATTAGACAGATAAATTTATTGTAACTGTGATAAAATCTGCATTCCATTGTGATAGTGATTTTTAAAAACACACATGAACACGCTGTTATATTTATTTTTAAATTCATCCATTTTAGCTAAGGAATTTTTCGTGAAACAATCATTTCAATATAAGGGAGCTTACTGAAAATTGGTAGAAATGTAAAATGGTATTACATGTTATATGCACTTTCATATGTTGTTGCTATATTCATAATAAATTTTGTTGAGTGTTGGTTGGTTGCCTACTTTATTAAAATAAATATGTCTATTATTGAATGAAACACACACACACATATATATATATATATATATATATATATATATATATATATATAATATTATACATATAATGCTGGTGTTAATAAAACAGTGTTTGATGCAATACAACAGAGATATTAAGTATATATTGATAAATATACATATTATCCCTCACCAGTGAAATAGTGGATAGCAGCTCAGATTGAGGAATTGGAGAGCCGAGTTCAAATTCTATTCGAATCCATTACCTTCACTTACGTGCTAATACCCTTGGGAAATGTATGAATCCTCTTCTTTTTTCCCTCATCTATGGGTAAATAGCAGGACCGACTGAGTTCTATAGCCTTGGATGGCAACTAGTTTAAGAGAAGGACAACTCTAAATTCAAAACTTGTGAAGGGCTGTTTGGGGACCTTGTGGCACGTAGTGCACCAGGTCTCTGTATTCAGCCCTTCAAAAGGTGTGGTTGGTTATGCACAAAGCCTTCACCACTATAATCAAATCATATGTACTGGTGTCTGGGCTGTTGGTTCCTAGGAACTGATCTACTTCACCCTCATATGTCAAATATGATGGGAGAGTCCACCATCTCTCACCGACTCTGATTATGCATGTATGTATGAATGAATGAATGACAAAGTAGGGGAAAATTTTAATGTGACATGATTTCTCCTTTAGGACTTCATCAGACTAAGTGTCACACAAAAACATTTTTGCACTTTGTCATGAATTTTTTGACCCAATACTGTTCTTGATATATAAAAATTTATATATTAATCATGTAAAACTTGAATATAATAAATATTACTTATCCTAACACCTTGTTTCCATAATCTCTTTCAAATTAGCTTCTTGATTGCTGTTTCTATACTGGCTCATAAAGCATACTGCTCACAAAGGGTATTAGCAAATGTATGTACTACATTTGGTACATATGTACTGTTCTTGAACTTCTGAGTAGCATGATAGACAGACACATACATATTTACACACAAATACACAGGCACACATAAAAATATAAACACACACACACGCAATTACATCTTTTCACCAATTTTTTCCAGTCTCTCTTTCCTGTTGTTGTGAAATCACCGATATTTAAATTCCGCTTTTTCATCCACTTCTTGCGCCATCTTTAGCAGATATAATTTGCCAATATTCAATTTATCAACACTGAGAAAGAGAAACTTAAAAAAAAATTTGCTGAAGACAATTCACTGCTTTTCTAAATAAATATTCTTTTTATAATTTGATTTAGATCATTTTTATATTTATTAAACAATTTAATTTTTGATATGTGTTGTTTTTCAGGAATACACTGTTTGTATCGGCTAAATTGTAAGGCAACAAAAGAATAATTTTGTTAGTTAATTAACCAGCAAAACTGTTTATTTGTTTAAAAGGTATTTTCAAAAGAAACATCAATGTTTCTGCTTAACATATGTTTCAGCAGAACACTCTTTTATTTCACTTATCTTTCTTTTATCTATTCTTGCTGAACTACTCAATGGTTTCAGCATCTGAAAAACAAAAACAAGTCAATTGCTTTGTCTTCTAAACCTGTTAGTTATCTATTTCAAGTATTTTTAGTGGTGTCAAGTGAGAAACTTGCTTGAAGCATTCAACAGCTGCAGACATCATGCCAATCTTTTGTTTCTCTTATTCTCTCTCTCTTCCTTCTACCTTGTCCTGCTATCTCACTTTTTCTTGTTTTCATTCTCACTCTCTCTCCCTTCTTTGATCCTTTCTCTTTCCTTCACTCTTACCTTCTCTCACACACTTGCTCTTTTTCTCACATTCTCTTACTCTTACTTTTGGTCTCAATCTCACTCTCTTTTTCCTTTTCTCATTCTCCCACTAGTTCTATTCCTCTCTCTCTCTTTTACTTTTGCTTTTTCTCTTTCTCTTTTTCACACACACTCTCTCCTCTTTTTGTGTTACTTACTCTCTCTCAGTTTCAGCCTTCTATCACTCTCTCTTGTCCTCTCACTTGTTTTGTATTCTGTCACTCTTACTTTTGGTCTCAATCTCTTTCACTCTAATTGCACAATAATGTTCTGAAAAGTTATTGGCCCAACCAAGAAGGAGGAGTCAACAATAGTTGGGATCATCGTTTCAACGCAAAAGATCCTTTCCTTAGCTACATATTATGTGCTTTGCCAGGGCTACATACAGTTTTGTGTTCAGAGTTTTCCTTCTTCTAGATAGGTTCTATAGCCTTGGGTGGTAACCAAAGTGAATAGTCGGGATCATTGAGTCAATTCAAAAGATCCTTTCTTTAGCTGCATATTATGTGCTTCACCAGGGCTACATAAAGTTTTGAATTTAGTGTTTTCCTTCTCTTGGACTGGTTACCACCCAAGGCCATAGAACTACTATTTAAGCCATATCTGAGGAGAGAAGAGTTGGATTCATACCTGCCCCAAGGGTATTAGCATGTAAGTGAATGTAATTAAAGAGAGTGCAATTTGAACTTGGCTCTCTGATTCTTCAATCCAAGCTGCAATCCATTAACAAATTGTGATCATTTTGGTAAAATTTTGTGAAGTGAATCAAGCAGAGAACTTTTCAGCATTACTTTGTTTTTCTTATTTTCTTTTAACACTTACATTATACTAAATTTTTACTTCTTTTCACTCTGCCAAGATAAGACCTCTCTCACACTCACTCTATCTCTTTCTCTTTCCTGTACTTTTCTTTGCTGTTTTTTGCTATCCTTCCTACTAAAATATTCTTTCTTGTTTTTATGACATTTATTCGCTAGTACTTACAAGTAGTATATTGTACTTACAATACTTATATTGTTGAGATACGAGATGACTTATTGATTTCTGACAGCATCTCTGTTTTTTTTTTCTTGTCTGATGCCAAAGCGCATGGATTCTGAATATCCAAACTGAAAAATAACAAGTGACATAATATTTTTAGCAACAAAATTTTCAACAAAAGTCTGTTGCGGTTTCCTCGCCTCCAGCAGAATATTTGTCTCGTCACTCACTCTTCTTAGTTACTGAACTTTTCTCTCAGTTAACCAAGATTAAGTTTACTTGTTATTAAAGGATTTTAGTAAGATGCTGACAACAGCATTGTCAATCAAAGACTGCCAGGAACAAAAAAAAAAAAAACACGTAAAGGCAAATGAGAAATAATATCTCAAAAAAAAAAAAAAGAAATCTTTATTTCTAATGACAAAAATGTATTGCTTTCAGATATTCAAGGTGTAGGTTTATATCACATTTCAACATGATATAGCCATAAGCCATAGTAACTTAGCTGATAATATAAGCTTTATATGTCATAACATAGCTTCCCTGTGCCTTTTCTATAAGTACCTTCATAATATTTGTTCTGATGAACTTTCTGCTATGGTACCTAGACTTTATGAATTTAAGCATAGTACTAGATTGGCAGCTAGGTCTCATCATTTTACAGTTGAAATGGCAAGATGTAACCATAAGTTCTATGCTAACAGTTTCCTTAATCTGATAAGTATGTTAATGGCATTTGTTCTGATGAACTTTCCTCTATGGTACCTAGACTTTATGAATTTAAGCATAGTACTAGATTGGCAGCTAGGTCTCATCATTTTACAGTTGAAATGGCAAGATGTAACCATAAGTTCTATGCTAACAGTTTCTTAATCTGATAAGTATGTTCATGGCATTTGTTCTGATGAACTTTCCTCTTTGGTACCTAGACTTTATGAATTTAAGCATAGTACTAGATTGGCAGCTAGGTCTCATCATTTTACAGTTGAAATGGCAAGATGTAACCATAAGTTCTATGCTAACAGTTTCTTCTATCACACTTCTCACTTGTGGACATATCTTCCAGCTTCTTGCTTCCCAGTCAAATTTGATCTTCAAAAATTTAAATGCAATGTCTATCATTATCTTCTGTCTACTTAATTCTTGTTTTTTTATTGTCCTCTCTTATTAATAGTAGTTTTCCTCATAAACACAGTAATCCCTTGTGTCTTAGTGGCTTTAATCCCTTCCTTGCAGTGAAATGATTATAAAACAGAAAAATAAAGAGTTCTTCTCTTGAAGTCAGAATGCTATAACTATTTGACCATATCCCTTTTGCATATGAACACAATTCTTACTTTATGAACTCTTTGCATTATTACTGTTGCTTTGTCTAGTTTTGACTTACATATATATTTTTTGCTTCATATTCTTTTGCTTTGTTTTTTCTTTCTTTTCTTATTGTTATTGAGAATTGTCAATTCTTCATATTAAGCATTTTTAACACTTAACCATGGCTAATTGCTCCAGCCTTAAAGTCTATTTTAAAGCTTCAAACTCTCAACATGGTTATTGAGATTGGGGCTTATATGGCCATATCACATTGAAACATGGGTTTTCGTACGATCACTGAAGATAAGCAATGTTGAGCCTGGTCAGTACGTAGATGGGTGACTGCTTGGGAATACCAGGTGCTGTAAGCTAGAATGTATGTGTGGTATAATGAATAATGGCTCAAAATTGGAAATCAGAGAGCTGAGTTCCAACTCCAGTCAGGTTAATTATATTCACTTACATGAAAATACCCTTCGGAAAGGTATGAATCCACCCTATCAACAGCAGCCATCAGCAATTCTGGTACAGTCATACCTGTCCATAGTTTGACCTTGTCCAACCAGTTTTTTCATTGATGTCATCTCCTACATTCACCTTCAATGGTGCCTTACATGGTCTTGCACTGGCTGTCCGGCCTTGTAATGTGTCCAAACCATGTCCTTTTTTCTCCGTTTGACAGTGGCAAGAAGAGGTTCCTGGTGTACCACAAAACTTTCAATTCTTTTCCACACAAACCCATTGTTTTTTTTTTGTTTCCAATAGAAAATGCCAAGGAGTTTTCTTATGCATTTGTTCTGAAACACTTGGATCTCCCAACAGTGTCCACATTTCACATCCATATACGAGAATGGAGACTACTAGCAATTTGTACAGTCTGTACTTTGTTTGAAAGCTGATTTTGCTCCTCCATATTCTTGTCAATTTGGCCATGGCTGTGGCAATCCGTGTGCGGATTTCCAAGTTGCAGGTACCATCTTTAGACAAGATTGCTCCCAAGTATTTAAAACTGGACACTTTCTCCAGTGAATTCTCGTTCATGGTAATATTGACACACTTGTTACTGTTTGTGATATTTACCATTACTTTGATTTCTCAGAGCTGACCTCCATTCCATATGCTCCTGCTCTTTCAAAAAGTTTGTTGGTCAAGTCCTGGAGCTCACTGTTACTATGAGGTCAATGCTATCTGCAAAACATAAGTTACAGACGGGTCTGCAACCGATAGAGATTGAAGGATCATGGTTATTCAATATTAGTACCTATGTGGGCAAATTCTAACAAAGAAGCAGGTAAACTTCTAAAATTGTGGCAATAATTGTAAGAACAGATATGAATTCAGTAATCAACTTATAAACAAACTATTCTTTTATGTGCCATGTCCTTTCATGCCATGGACAATCATGGCAATCCATAACTTCTTTGACCTTTGTAACCTTGACAAAGTTTGTCTGTTTGCTGTCTCTACTAATCCCTGTCCTTCCAATCATTAACTAGGTTATATGTTGCTCTCCTCTGTCCCTCTTACCTTCAATATATCCTGTGGGTATCAAATTTCTTAAGCCCTCTTTCCTCATAATGTGCTTGAGAAATTTCAGTTATTTGTTTCTGATTCTAAATATGAGTTCTTATTGTTTCTATTTTCCCTAAAACTGTGTTTTCATTGTATTCTCAGCATCCTTCTGTAGAACCACATTTCTGTCTCTTCTTCATCTGTGAGCAGGTTGTCCAGCATTCACTGCCATATAAAAGGGCTGATATTACATAATAGTTCAATACTCTTTTCTTTGTTTCTCTTGCTTCAAGTCTCTTCTTCATCTATGAGGAGATTGTCCAGCCTTCACTTCCTTATAGGAGGACAGATAAGACAATAGTTCAGAACTCTTTTTTTTGCATCTAACATTTTTCTGTTTCTTGATACTTTGCTTAGCTTTTGGAAGGCAATTTTTGCTATATTATCTTAGCATACAGTATCAGGAAATACTTAGATTTTATCACATTTTTCATTTCTTGATAATTTGTGCCTAATTCATTAATTGATGAGAAAGAAATCAATTTTTTGTAATAAATTTATTTTTTGGGTAAGGCAAAATTTTGTGACATCAGTTTTCTTTTTGAAGTTGTGGATATGAATATGTTATACATATTTGCCCCTTAATTCTTAAATGTCAAAATTTTTTATAGTTCTGATTGTATGTGGGACAGAGAGAGAATCATAGAGGGTGTATGAATATAATATGTCGGAAAATCAATTCCAGGCCAGCATCTATAACAGAAGAAGAGAAAAGAAAAAAGGTTTTTCATCAGTCAGCATGATCAGCACTGATATTTTCTATCAGGTCATCCAATAAGTTCTGTCCGAATTTAAACTTTTTGTTAAAAGGAACGAAATTTAAAGAGTATTTTATAATGTCTAATGGAGCTGAACATTATTTTTATGCTTAGATGCATTTAAACTGATCAAATTTTATTTCAGAGAACAATAAAATTAAATTTTGTTTGATTAAAACTCTGCTAACATGGAAGTACCCAAGAATCATTTGAGGCACATAATGCTTTATGAGTTCAAGAAAGAAAACTCATCAGCCAAAGCGACTAGAAATATTCACTCAGTTTATGGAGAGGAATGTGTGAATGAAAGAACTTGCAGAAGATGGTTTGCAAAATTCAGAGGTGGAGATTTCACCCTTGAAGATGAAGATCGAACCGGACATCCAGTTGAGTTTGATGAAAAGCTTCTTGAAGCAGCCTTTGAAGAAAATCCTGCTTTATCAGTTGAGGAATTGGCAGTGGTTCTCAGTTCAAATCATATAACTGTTCATCATCTTCAACAACTTGGAAAAGTTCCTAAACTTGGAAAATGGGTGCCTCATGAATTGTCTGAAAGCAACCTCAAATCCTGAGTTGACATCTGCTCTTCTCTCCATTCTCACCAACTTGTTTCACTTTTTTGGATAGACTTGTGACTGGCATGGAAAAATGGATCTTTTATCAAAATGTTAAGCATCGAAGACAGTGGCTTGGTAAAGGGGAAGGACCCCAGAAGGGAACTTCATGGGCAAAAGGTTCTTCTTTCAATCTGGTGCGATCATCAAGGAATAATCCACTTTGAATTCTTACCACCTAATGCAACAATTAATGCTCAAATATACTGTCAGCAATTAGAACATTTGAACCAAGCTTTGAGGAAAAAAAGACCTTCTCTAGTGAATCGAAAAGAGGTGATGTTTCATCAGGACAATGCGTGGCCCCACACAGCAAGAATCACGTCACAAAAGATTGAAGAACTTGATTGGGAGAAAATTCTTCATCCACCTTATTCTCCTGATCTTGCTCCTTCGGGCTACCATTTGTTTTGTAGCTTACAGAATCATTTGGAAGAAACAGCTTTTGTAACACAGGAAGAGGTTAAAACTGACATTTGTGAGTTCTTCGAATCAAAGCCAAAAGAATTTTTCAGTAATGGAATTTGTAAACTTGTTAATAGATGGAAGGAAGTCATAGATAATCAGGGAAAATACATTGTTGATTGAATCTGTAATTAAATGTAACATTTGGTCACTTGTTTTCTTTATTCAAAATTCGGACAGAACTTATGGGATGACCTGATATATCTGAATTTCTGTCACTAGTGAAAGACAAAACTGCAAAATTGAAATCAGAATGAAAAGAAAATAGAAACAGACCAACTGTTATGATTTGTTTTAATTCTTTTGAACAGAGTTTCCAAGCCAGATTGCAAGCAGCAGAACAATATCTTGCATTAATGTTCAGGTTAGGCTTACCCAGGTATGTCTACTCAAGAGCCACTCATTCTTCATCAACTGAATATCCATCATAAAGAAGCAGGTAACAGGTTAATTGATTGCAGCTGTTGGACAAAACCTGTAAATAATAAGGACATTTCTGCTTTGATTAAGAAACAAATAGTTGAAATCTCTGGGACACATGATGAGGAAAGAAAGTTTGGGGAATTTGACAGAGGAATAATGAAGGCAAGAGGAGTAGAAGGGAAACGTTAGTTAAAATCTCTGGGACAAATAATGAGGAAAGAGAGCTTCAAGATTTGACAGAGGAAATATTGAAAGCAAGAGAAGCAGAGGAGAAACATTAAATAAAGAGAGAGTTAAAATCTCTGGGACAAATAATGAGGAAATAAAGCTTGAAGAATTTGACAGAGGAAATGTTGAAGGCAAAAGGAGGAGAAACATTAAATAAAGAGAGAGTTGAAATCTCTGGCACACATAATGAGGAAAGAAAGCTTGAAGAATTTGACAGAGAAAATATTGAAGGCAAGAGGTGCAGAGTACAAACATTAAATGAAGATAATGGAAATCTCTGGAACACGTAATGAGGAAATAAAGTTTGGAGAATTTGATATACCCAAGATATATTTAACGCATGAAGGAAATATCAACTAAATCAACAGCTGTATTTTCTGCAGCATATAAGAAAAAAAACAGCTTGTAGAATTTTATCACTTCAGATAATATTGAAGACAAGTTGGACAGATGGAAACAAAACAGTTGTAGATTCTGGGATGCATATGTGTGCTTGGAGAATTTAACACACACAGGAAATATTGAAAGCCAGAGAGTCAGATGGAAATGGTAAGAAACCCTTTCATATGAATCGAAGAACAGGGACTGAGAAATTTCATAAGACTAACATTATTTAGAACTAAAAATGATAGGAAGTTGTGGAGAGCCATAATCGCCTAAATTCTACAGGGAAACAGTGTATAAAAGGATAATTCTGAAAACATAATTAACTACACAGCTTCGTCTCTCTTAAATGAGATAATACACATGTTCTCAATATCTTCAGTGCAAATCTGAACGAAGAGTGAGGAGATCCATCCAAGATATCTAAATAGTTTGAAATCAAGAAATGTGCAATACTAGTGAGGCACAAAGTAAAACAGGAAGCAAAAAAAAGGAACTGAACTACCCAAATATGAAAACATTTTTGGAGTTCTTGGACCAATGCTGAAGAGCTTTGGAAATTTGAAGAATTGAAATAATTCAGAAAACATCACTATTAAGGTCAATAAAAATACAGAAGAGGCAGTCCGAATATTAAACTGACTTGCTGTCTCTAGAAAAAAATAAAAAATAAAAGCAACCATATATTGTATACACAATAAATAGAAATAATAACAACTAGCAAAATCCCCATCTTACGAACATTTCTCTTAATTATAATTTCAAAATAATTCAGCAGATGATGTTATTTTATTTATGGTAACTGTATTTTTTGTTTTTTTTTCCTTACTCCATTTCCATTATTCAATACTGTACATCTGTAAATGTAACTTTTATTGCAGTCACCATCACTTCTCAGCTGTTTGGCTAAGATCAAAGTGCCGTA